TTCATTTACCTGTCAGAGCACTCTGATTGGTTGGCTTAAACCAACCAATTGTCATGTATTCATCCGCACATAAAAATGTGGTTAATGGCATTTACTGTCCTGACCAGAAAAGTTGTGCCGAGCAACATTACCGTCCTGACAGCAAAAGTTGTGCCAAGCAGCAATCATGCACATGGAAACCTGGTAATTACTTTGGGGGTCAAAGGCCGGTCATGGCCAATCAAATCCATAGGAGGATTTGTGCTGAGCAGCAATCATGCACACCTGGTAATTGCCTTTGGGGTCAAAGGCCTGTTACAGCCAATCGGATCCATAGGAAGGGTATTTAAACCCAATTTTCCTTTTGCTCATTACCTTGTTGTGGTTTCATGCCTATGGTTATCCAAGAGTGCGTTCCTGATCTTGATTTTCTGGTATTTGACTTTGGCTTTGTTTTGACTTCCCTGATATCTGGTATCCTTGACTTTTGGCTTTCCCTCATCTTTGTGTCTGATTCTGTGCCCCTGTATAGGTAATGGAAATGCACTCAAACCCTCATTCTGGAATCCTGGGTGCAATAGAAACTGGATAAGCCCCAGTACCAAAGGGACCAAATATCAGATTAAAATGTAGAAAATAATCCAGGCACTCCAAGGTATTCCAACAAATAGGCAATTTTATTGGACCCAAGTACCAAAAAACAACGTTTCAACCCCTTAGCTTGACAAAGGCCCTAAGGGGTCGAAACATTGTTTTTTGGTACTTGGGGCCAATAAAATTGCCTATTTGTTGGAATACCTTGGAGTGCCTGGATTATTTTCTACATTCTAATCTGATTCTGTGCCCCTGACCTCGGCAAGTATTTTGACTATTCTTGGAGACGTTAAGTCCGGCCATTCTAAGGTCCGGTTATATGTTATCCTTAGTCCTGGGTGTGACACAGTACTGCGTGCTGGATCAACTTGTAATCCTGACACCAATCAGAGAATTCTGAGCCTAATTGCAGGGCATGGGAAGGCTTTATAAGCCTTTCCCCGCCCTGCGGAGCTCAGTCTGCGCCGTGCCTTCCATGGGTGAAGATGGATTATTGGCCAGGCATAGGAAACCTCCATAAGACACATAGTTCCTACTTTGTCGTATGTTTTAAAGAAAACTAGAGCTGACAAAAGAACTTATAATCAAACTTACCCTCCCTACCTCCTAATCAATATCCGCTGCATGCTGGTGGGAACAGAGACTACTGGACTCTGGGGAAACAACAAGAGAGAAGTGTAAGCGCTCATTAACAACTAGGGCAGCAACCCTATAAGGGAATCCCTCAAAAAACCCTTAGAATACAACAAGAATAATAAAAGAGAGATAAGGGCTGCGCCAAAAGACCTTGTAACATTCAATAATCAGTATTTGAGGGTATGATCTTACTCAGATCAGATAGTCTATAAAGTGCTTGGTCAGGAACAATGTCCTTGCTGTCCTTGTCCGGGCAGATCCACCCATATGAAAAGATAAAGCAGGAAAATTTGTAAACGGAAACAAGCCAAGATCAGAATTACGGAAACACAGAGATAAGAGAAAACTAGTGTGAAATAATTCCTGAAATGATGTAACAGCTTATCACTGGCAGTCTTCCATGTTTATTGTAATATTTCCAATCAGATGATAGCCAGGGACTCATAGTATGGTAACTTCAGTAGCAGCTGGCTAAAATGACAATTACAAGTGATTGTTGGAAGGACAACGTTGGAACCGTTAGAATCGATGACACCTGTGCATGTCCTGCTCCATGCAAGGACCCAGTACAGCCGCCAAAGTACACTTCCAAGTCTATGCGTATTTATTAACCTCCAGGATACCACAACTAGCTAAGGTCAGGGCAATAAGGTCTGATGAAACAAGCCAAGATCAATACCAGAAATCAGAAAAAAATGAAATTATGCTAATCAAGAAACCAAAATGGAAACCACAACAGGGCAAGGGTATTTTGTAAATTTACACTGATAGGTGCACTTTAATGAAAATTTCATTTCAAGAAAGGGCAAGTGGCCAGCATTCAGAATGCTGCCCAAAGAGAAATGAAGGTCCCTCGACACCCACATTGTTACACCACACTGTTTCTCACACATTCTACTACCCACACTGTCCACACAATACTACACACACCACTGAACATACTGCTACTACTCACCAGGGCTGCTATCAGGAACACACAGATACACAGACAGATACACACATACACTCAGGTACACATAGATACATAAACAGACATACTCATTTTTTAGCCACTCTCCTGTTTCTTACCTTTTGGCTGCAAGAGGGTTGACTCTGCTGCCTGGGGCTGTGGGTCTTGCTCTCTCGTTCTCTCCAGCTCTCACTCCTCTGTTCTTCTTCACTCCCGCGCTGGTGTTAGCAAGAAGGAAGTGACCAGAGCCCACTTCCTCCCAGCACTACCTGGATCATTAAAGGGGCCTGGTTGAGCTCTTAGAGATCCATAGCACTGACAGGTGCGTCGGGCACCTTACGGGCTCCACCAGCATGCGGACCCCGTTGCAGCCATATCAGCAGTTATTCAGTCGCCAGTGCACATATACAGTCAGGTCCATAAATATTGGGACATCAACACAATTCTAATCTTTTTGGCTCTATACACCAACACAATGGGTTTTAAATGAAACAAACAAGATGTGCTTTAACTGCAGACTTTCAGATTTAATTTGAGGGTATTTACAGATCAGGTGAACGGTGTAGGAATTACAACAGTTTGTATATGTGCCTCCCACTTTTTAAGGGACCAAAAGTAATGGGACAGATTAACAGTCATAAATCAAACTTTCACTTTTTAATACATTGTTGCAAATCCTTTGCAGTCAATAACAGCCTGAAGTCTGGAACGCATAGACATCACCAGACGCTGGGTTTCATCCCTGGTGATGCTCTGCCAGGCCTCTACTGCAACTGTCTTCAGTTCCTGCTTGTTCTTGGGGCATTTTCCCTTCAATTTTGTCTTCATCAAGTGAAATGCATGCTCAATCGGATTCAGGTCAGATGATTGACTTGGCCATTGCATAACATTCCACTTCTTTCCCTTAAAAAACTCTTTGGTTGCTTCTGCAGTATGCTTCGGGTCATTGTCCATCTGCACTTTGAAGCACCATCCAATGAGTTCTGAAGCATTTGGCTGATTATAAGCAGATAATATTGCCCGAAACACTTCAGAATTCATCCTGCTGCTTTTGTCAGCAGTCACATCACCAATAAATACAAGAGAACCAGTTCCATTGGCAGCCATACATGCCCACGCCATGACACTACCACCACCATGCTTCACTGATGAGGTGGTATGCTTTGGATCATGAGCAGTGAAGGCTTTTTTAGATGTTGTTTGGCAAACTCTAATCTGGCCTTCCTGTTTTTGAGGCTCACCAATGGTTTACATCTTGTGGTGAACCCTCTGTATTCACTCAGGTGAAGTCTTATCTTGATTGTTGACTTTGACACACATACACCTACCTCCTGGAGAGTGTTCTTGATCCAGCCAACTGTTGTGAAAGGCGTTTTCTTCACCACGGAAAGAATTCTTTGGTCATCCACCACAGTTGTTTTCCGTGGTCTTTCGGGTCTTTTGGTGTTGCTGAGCTCACCGATGCGTTCTTTCTTTTTAAGGCTGTTCCAAACAGTTGATTTGGCCACACCTATTGTTTTTGCTATCTCTCTGATGGGTTTGTTTTGTTTTTTTCAGCCTAACGATGGCTTCCTTCACTGATAGTGACAGCTCTTTGGATCTCATATTGAGAGTTGACAGCAACAGATTCCAAATGCAAATAGCACACTTGAAATTAACTCTGGACCTTTTATCTGCTCCTTGTAAATGGGATAATGAGGCAATAACACACATGGTCATGGAACAGCTGAGCAGCCAATTGTCCCATTACTTTTGGTCCCTTGAAAAGTGGGAGGCACATATACAAACTGTTGTAATTCCTACACCGTTCACCTGATTTTGATTTGGACTCAAATTAAAGCTGAAAGTCTGCAGTAAAAGCACATCTTGTTCATTTCATTTCAAATCCATTGTGGTGGTGTATAGAGCCAAAAAGATTAGAATTGTGTCGATGTCCCAATATTTATGGACCTGACTGTATTTAGAGATAATCGCTATATATATGTGTGCACATTGGGAATGAATGGCCTGGATGCCGGGACCCCCCAAGACTGCCGGGTCCATGACAAACATCATGGTTGTCACGATGCTACTCACAGATACTCACACTGTTACCCACACACACTACTACATAAACACCACTGCACATACTGCTACTACTCACACTGTTACATGTACGTAGTGGGGAATCCTGATGCAGCATAATAACATAAACTAACCCAATTCACCCCCTAAATAATGACAGACAACGTAGTATGGATGAAACAGGCCACATCATTTATTATAACATATAATAATTACTGTATAACACATCCATAATTTATTTTAATATTCTCTTTTCTTTGATTTAACCAAAACATCCAAATATAAGTAACCATATCTTAACATATAACTTAAATACATAGTGTCATACAGTGTAACCCAACCGTCCTTGCCAATAAACTAACCATGCACCTATGTACTACTTCCTCTCACCTCCCCCTTCGGCATAAATTCCTTTTCCTTCCAATGCTTACCACCAGCCGACCTTTTCCTCGCTTGGTTGGCACGTCATAACAGGTAACCTAAGGTTAACCCTTTAGAGCAGGGGAGGTTGAGACCTGAAACTTGCACACTTCATTCCACATAATTAACCTAACCACCTCAAACTAAATTGGCAAGGACATACCCCTGGCCAGCTGCAACGAAACAAAACCCACGGGGCGGGCGGGAGGGAAGCTGTTTGTTGGCACAAATCCCAAGTGGCACTGAAGTAAGACCACCGCCGAATTTCCAAAATGCTGAATTTTGGAATGCTGAACCAAATTGCCGAAGTGCCGAATTTCGGAAGTGCTTCGTATTTCTGAAAAGTGTCAAAACAGGAGAGGGTAGGGCTAGTGGTTGGGGTAGAGGTAGGGGTAGGGTTAGGTCTAGGGTTAAGGCTTGGGGTAGGGTTAGTGGTTGGGTTAGGGGTTGGGGTAGGGTTAGTGGTTGGAGTAGGGTTAGGGGTAGGGTTAGGGTAGGGTAACCCTAACCCTATTCCTAACTCTACCCCTAACCCTACTCCTACCCCTAACCCTACTTTAACCCTAACCCTAAACCAACCCTAATCCTACCCTAACCCTACTACTACCCTTAACCATTCCCTAACCCTACATGTAACCCTAACCCTATGTCTAACCCTACCCCTAACCCTACCCTTACCCGAAGTGCCAAAGTGCTGAAGTCTCAAATTTTGGAATGCCGAACTGAACCCAATATTTTTACCATGCACATCCCTAGCACACACTACACAAACACACTATATGTGTGCATATTATCAACTCATTTTTATCATATTTAAATTGTCTTTTTTTTTTTATTAGTTTGGGGGTTGTGAGAATTGTGTGCCTGCAGACACTCATGATGTACACTATGTGAACTAGACTATGGGAATTAAGTGTGAAAAGCAATTATAATGAAATAAGAGGCTACAAGCAAGATTATTATTATTATTATTATTATGTTCGGGTCTTTCCTCCCTCAAGTGTTGTTAATCCTGTGTCTGTCTCCCTCCAAGTCAACGGTGCTTCCATCAGCTGTGACCAAGCATGCCTAGGTCAGTGATGGCGAACCTATGGCACGCGTGCCACAGGTGGCACAACGGGCACTTTCTGTGGGCACGCGGCCACAGGTTCACCATCAATGCAGAGTAGGCACCTGCCTGCCCAAAACGGCAGGCGCCTACTCTGCTTCCGGGTCGGGAGGCAGGGGGAGGACTCTAGGAAGCAGCTCGCCTGTCCTCCCGCGCGATGCTGTGTGAAGCGTTGCCGCGCGTTACCATGGCAACGCTCCACACAGCAT